CCCCTATTTTCCTCAACAGAATGATATAGCCGAAAGGAAAAATAGAACTTTAAAAGAGATGATGAATTCTTTACTAATAAGTTCAGGGTTATCTGATAACATGTGGGGGAAGCCATTCTATCGGCAACTCATATCTTGAACCGAGTTCCTCATAAGAAATTAGATTCTACCCCATATGAATTGTGGAAATGATACGCTCCTAATTTACAATACCTGAAAGTGTGGGGGGTCTGGCCAAAGTGGGTTTGCCAGACTTTAAGAAGTCCACCATCGGACCTAAAACTGTTGATGCAGTGTTTATAGGGTATGCTACGAATAGTGTTGCATATAGATTCATGCTTTTACAAGATTATTCTATTTTGAGTCAAGGGATGTTGTTTTCTTTGAAAATACTTTTCCTTTAAAGGAACCGAGAATGAATATTGAAACACAAATAAAATATATTCCATCTACTTCTTCTAGTAATCCTGCTAGGTCTTCTGAACAAATTGATTTCGAGCCTAGAAGAAGTAAAAGGCAAAGAGTTGAAACCTCTTTTACAAGATCTATCGATGCTAGTTTTTGGAAAAGCGTTGTTAATGATGAACTAGAATCGATAATGTCTAATCATACTTGGGAATTAGTTGACTTGCCTAAGGGATTCAAACTAATCTCCAAAAAATGGGTCTTCCGGAAGAAACTAAGGCCAGATGGTTCGATTCAGCAGTACAAGGCAAGGTTAGTCGTCAAAGGGTTCACTCAAAGGTTTGGTTTAGACTACTTTGATACATATTCTCCCGTTACCAAAAATCTTGACGATTCGTGCATTATTTACACTAGCCTCTATTCATAAGTTGCAGGTACATCAAATGGATGTTAAGACTGCTTTCTTGAATGGAGATCTAGATGAGGAGATTTACATGGACAACCACTAGGTTTTGAAGCACCTGGTATGGAAGGCAAAGTCTGTAGACTCAAAAAGTCACTCTATGGACTTAAGCAGGCTCCTAAACAGTGGTATGAGAAATTTCATAAAACTATTCTTAGTTTTGGTTTTGTTGTGAATGGTTCGGATGCTTGTGTGTATTCGAAGATGTTTGACACTGAATGTGTTATCATAAGTCTTTATGTTGATGACATGTTGATTTTCAGTTCTAACATTGAGTCCATTAACAAAGTTAAAAATTTCTTGTCCACTAAATTTGAGATGACAGATTTGGGAGAAGTAGATGTAATCTTAGGAGTCAAAGTTACCAAAACTGAGAAGGGATTTTCTTTATGTTAAGCACATTATATAGAGAAAGTGCTAAAGAAATTTGACAGTTTTGATGTCGTCCCTGTTCGAACTCCTTATGACCCTAGCACACATCTAGTTAAGAATAAAGGAAGTAGCGTTTCCCAAACTGAATATGCTAAGTTAATCGGAAGCTTAATGTTCTTAATGAACTATACTCGGCCTAATATTGCTTATGTTGTGAGTAGACTGAGTAGATATACTCATAATTCGAGTGGTGAGCACTGGATTGCTCTTAAACGCTTACTGAAGTATCTCAAGGGTACTTTGGATTGGAAACTTGAGTTTGTTGGCTTTCCTGCAGTACTGGAAGGATATTGTGATGCCAACTGGGTTTCTGATAATGATGAGGTAAGCTCTACGAGAGGGTATGTTTTTACTTTGGGTGGAGCAGCAATCTCGTGAAAATCATCAAAGCAGACTTGTATTGCTCGTTCTACTATGGAGTCAGAGTTTATAGCTCTTGACCTAGCTGGGCAAGAAGTCGAGTGGCTCAGAAGTTTGTTAGCAAATATTCTGTTGTGGGGAAGACCGACTCCTCCAGTTTCATTATTGTGTGATTCACAAGCTGCGATATGTGTGGCTAAGAACCAAGCTTATAATGGTAAGAAAAGACACATTCGTATAAGATATGAGTCAGTGAGACAATTAATAAAGAATGGAGTGCTCTCTTTAGAGTATGTGAAGTCGAAAAGGAACCTAGTAGATCCACTTACCAAAGGGTTAAGTCGGAAGCTGGTCCTAGATTCGTCGAGGGGGATGGGTCTAAAGCCTATTGGTTGAGGAATTCATGGTGGATACCCAACTTAGTTATCTAAGTTCCATATGGTCAAACGAAACCATGGAAAGACTCATAGTGCACATTCCTTCTTCCTATCCCTATGACGAATAATGTGCATGCCCAGGATGAGCTTAAGTGCTCTTAATAAATTCATAGCCCAGGCTTTGGGTGGTCTTAGTGAGAAAGACTTGATGAATTTACCAATTTTGGCTGAATATATATTCTTAATAAGTTTATAACCCAGAGTGAGTGGGTAGGAAATGATGAACTTACCTACAGAAATGTTGAGTTTGTTAAACTCTTAATAAATTCAAATCCAAGTATTTGGATGGTTCTAGTGAGAAGGACTTACTGAATTTACCGATAAATGAGGTTGAATATTTATTCTTAATGACTTCTTAGCCTAGAGTTTGGGTGGTTCATTAATAATGAACTTGAAGAAAGTCACCATACCCTTTGTGAGGTTGAGCTATTATAAAAGCTCTTAATTATTTCATATCTTTTTTTAAAGGGTGGTTTATGTTGAGATAAACTTGATGAAATAACCTATGTAAGTGAAAAGGGTTAGTCGCCTTCTATGAAAAATGTTGGGCCATTTTTCTAGCACACTTACTAGAATCCCGAGGTAAGATGGCCAAATATATACTTTGTATATATATATCTTACACATCGAGGACTCAGGTGGATGAAGGGGTTAGTTGTGTGTTATGAGTTTACCCTGATCTTAGAAAGTTCCAGACTAGTTTCACTTATCTAAGAGAAGGATTGCTCATCATCACTATGTACTAGTTCCAGATACGTTCACTAGTGCTTAAGCAACTAATCTCGCTATTGCTCTTCTAGAAAAGTTTGTTTTCGAGTTTCAGAAGATTTCTTTCGCATTAGTGGGGGAATGTTGGTAATGCTCAATCCCACATAGTATTGGAAACACTATTAGGAATGGTATTTAAGGCTTGGCTTTCCCAATTCCTTGTTGAGTGATAGAGAACAAGGGGGACTCTCGCGCACCGCCGCCGCCGTCCGTCCGTCCGTCTCGTCTCGTCTCGGCTCGGCACGGCACGGCACGGCACGGCACGACTCGACTCGGTCGTGGTCGTGGTCGTGGTAATACGTGTCTTCGACACGTCAGCGCGGATACTATCTTTTTAGAAAAAATCTTGAGGAATTTCTCTTTGAAAGAAACAAATGAAAAATGTGAAAGATTTCAACTGATATTTATAGGTTGTTGAGGACTGTTTAATTTCAAATTATAACATCTGGTTTATGCGAGTTATCAGAAATTAAACAGTTTTTCCTAAATTAAATCAAAAAACGTTAAGATGTATCTGGACTGATTTCTAGCTTTGTACAGAGGAGACAAGCTGTTAATATCAGGAGTTACAGGAGTTATTTGATTTATTTTCATGGTTACATGATATAATTTCAGGAGTTATAACAGCTGAACAATGATGCAATGAACCTGGACTATTTTTTAGTCAGATTCATCTAGACGTTTCAGTGTTACAAAAGAAGAGATTTAATCCTGAAATTTTATGGACGATTTTAACCCTATTTCTAGCCTATAAATAGAGGGCTATATTCAGCTTCTCAACTCACTCTCAAACATTCACAATTCACTTACAAAAGTGTTTTCTACAGTTCTCTCTGTGAGTTCTCTCTGAGTGTTTTTCAATCAGAAGAGTAATACCACCAACAGTCCACTATGGTTTCGGGTGTACGGAATTTGGAGCGACCGTGTTAACCTCGGGGGACGGTCCGCCTACTACAACGATTACACACATCGGGGCGAATTCGTTTCTAAGGCAGTGATTTTTACCACGACACGGTTTACGAAATTATTCCTTTTAATTACTGTTTATATTTCCAGTCAGTACTAACGTGTAATTTTGCAGTTCATATATCTAACAGTTTGAGGCGAATCGATTAAAATTGGCACTGCTAGTGGTGTCTCGGGGCAGATGAGTCGCATCACCAAAATCACTGCCATTAAAGCCAACTTGAAGGACTTGGACGAAGAGAGGGATAGCATAAAGAAGCAAAAAGCTAGCTGACCAGCACTAGTGAAACAACTGAGTAGACCTTCATTCCGATGGATATTACTAATACTTTTTTCAAGGTTGTATTTGGATTTATGATCCAAATCAATCCAAACCCGATTCCGCAATATCGAGATTTGTTCTCGAATCAATCCAAACCGGAATTCATAGGTTAATGGTAACAAATTGTCCAACTCAACGAAGCATGAACGAGGATTGACTCATATTGATTAAGTTCAACCTGATCTCAAAGCTCTTAAATTTTAAACTAATTTAAACTGAAAGATGAACTGCTGAATGTCATAGGTTTTCATTGGGTAAACTATACGATTGGTCCCTTATGTTTTTTTATTTGTCTGATTTTGGTTATCAGTTTAAAAATAATAATTTTGGTTCCTTACGTTATCGATTTGTTCGATTTGGGTCCCTCTACCGTTAAATCTCCAACACATGAACAGAATTCTTCACCTGTAGCTTATGAAGAGACGAATCCATAAACATGATTTCACCTGTAGTCTTCATCTGTTCGATTTAAGACCTTTCCATTGTCCAGGCTTTCTGGTTCCAAACTTTTATAAGATTTCTCTTTTATTCGTGGTTGATCCATAAACATCTCTATTGTATGCTCAAACCAAACAAAAGAGTGACAAAAATCAATTAATTTTCATACTTTAATCTGAATTTAAAATGATAGAAATAATTAATTTAAGCGTCTTACCTCGTCAACAACGCAATTAATATGTGCAATAAAGGTGCATTCTTCGCAAGAATAAACATTATGTTCTGGATTCCTCTGTCTCGCATATATCACAACAATAATCTCTAAAATCATCTTCAATAAAGTAATTTGACATTAAAATTTATATCATGTTCATGGGATTTATAGTTGATGCTATTAAGGCTATGATTTTGTCCGTGTTTAAAACATTGTTTTCAGCTAAGCCAGAAGTTGGAGTTTATCCTTTACATCACTGTTGTTCATCCATAGTTGTCTCCATGTGCATAAAGCCCCACTAGGCATAGATAATGTAAAACCCCTACATTACACTTTCTTGCTCTTAGTTCCGTAGGCTTAAAGTTACATCAAGGCAGCTGGATTCTTCGTTGTGGGAAGATTTCCATCGTAACTACATCTTAACACATCGGGTTTTCTCACTAGCCGAGGCCCGACTGGCACCTTTCCTGCTTTCGGACGAATGTCCTGCACATTGTCACTTTAAAACTTTATATCATGCAAGTCAAGTTTACGAAGCCTGAAAAATCAAGAATGATGATGCTATGTGTTAATTTTCTGGTGAACGATACCTGGTCGAAGATAGCAGTAGGAATTGCAAGAGTTGCAACGGCATTTGGTGAATCTACGATCCCAGAGATCCGTCCTTCGCAAGGGCAGCAGGATAGCAGAAGGTAAATCTGATGATCACCGTGGTTTCTTATGGATCAGTAATGGCTTAACCATAGGTGATTTGTTTGAAGAGAGGCTCAATATCGATGGAACTTACCTGTTCTTTCGAGTATCCAAACTTCGAGAGGTAGTCAATTGCATTGAGTACCGCACGCTTGTATGCAACACTTGCGTCAAGGAAATGTTGCCTTCCACTCTCATCCACACTTATTCCCTCGAACACCAACCATTCGGAGAATCTCGGTTCGACCGGTCCGATCTCAAATATAGGATTTACATGAAGAAGGGTTGGTCCCATTGGCGTGAGGTACTCTTTCATTCCACCTCTTATGATTTCGCACCTATTAAACCACACGCCAATTACTAAAACAACCGAATACATGCAACAGCCAGGGAATTATTGCTAATTTTAGTCTAAATTATTGGAGATGGAGCTAAATAACTCACTTAAGCTCGAGAAAACCACTCATCTCAATTGCTCCACAAAATGAGACTTCACCGTCACCTTGAGAAAAATGCATGTCACCTGTGCTGAGGTTAGCTCCTTCAACAAAAACAGGAAGATATATTTTTGAACCTCTACTGAGGTTTTTGATGTCACAATTTCCACCATTCTCTCTTCCTGGAATAGTCCTCGCCGCCTCGTTAGCGACCTTTTCCCATTCGGAAGTCCCCTTTTTTATCTGCAAATTAATGTCCATTTTTAGATTACATGTCATTGTATTATCAGTCTCTGGTTGGAAATTACATGTTATCATCAAGGAAACTGATGTAAACTACCTTCCCTAAATGGCAGCCTTTGGTGGATGGAAGATTTGCCAATGGTCGTGTATGCAAAACTTCACATAGTTTTAGGGACTTATGGCCATTCTCTTCTACTTCTCTTTCTCTGTCATTCCATATATTCAGAAGTTCCATCGACGGCGCCGTTCCGATTATCCCGGGATGAGTCAAACCCGGAAATCTCACCCCTGCAATTTTTAGATGACAATAGAAATGGAGGAAAGTGTTTGAAAAGCTTATGACTAGTGGGAATGGATCGAAACTTCACCCGGTATATGAGGAGAGTAAGCATATATTCCTTCAAAATACCAAATAGCTTTAGTTGCACATGGAAAATGGTCTGTCAAAAACCCACCACCATTTTCCCTGTCAAACGTCGCTGTATAACCCCATTCATCACCCGGTAAAGGACCCAAATTACATATTTCCACTGCAAGAAGATCACCCGGCATGGCTGCTATGCCATCCTTGTCTTCAACTCTTATAGGCCCACTCAGATAATGAATCTGTGTATCATAAATATGTCCTTTGGAGATGTTATATGTCGAATATAACCCTCTAGTTCAAAGATGATTTATGGGACAAAAAAATTAAGATCATACATGATTGTTTACTTACAGTGGATAGGTCTATAAATTTGACATCGGTTGCAGAATCATCATCTTTAATGGCACCTCCGGTCCAGTCCACCATTTCAACTCTAATGGGCTCACCGGCCTTAACATGGGTGACCGGAGGTATTTCCGGGTGCCAACGATTGTGAAGAGGTAGAGGTTGTTCCCATGGCTTCTTCTTCAAGTCAATTGGCACCACTAGTCTTGGAGTTGGAGGAGCCATGGATAAGGCGCAGGACAAAACGAAGAGATCGAGATATTTGTTTCGTATTAGAACCGGTCACTTACCAATTGACATCACTTTTTCCAAATGTCAATTCTTAGGCACTTTTAAAAGTGTTAATGGAGTTTAATACATCGATACAAATAAAAACAGTGACGATGGTCCATTTTGATTGTGTGTGTTTTTTTAATACGACCGGTTGATTTATAATTTAGAATTGAATTTACATAGATTTATTATAAAATTAATTTAATTATTTTATTGAGTAAAGTATACAAATGATCAATTGATTATAGGGCACTACTTTGTTAGTCTCCGACTGTTAAAAGTTACAAAATGATCATTCTACTATAGGATGTTACTTTGTTGAGCCCTCCAAGTATTAAAAATTATAAAATGGTCACTCAACTATTCATATGTTCCAAACTTGTCATTTTCCGTTGAAAAGTTGGCCGTCTGAGCTGAACATTAACATGTTGAGTGTGATATGATAAAATTTGCTAACATAACTGTTTCGGTTGTATTCTATCGATCTACTTTATGTTTACATTATGTTGTCGAGCCAGTGCTTGAAAGATTATATCGTCGAACCAGTGCTTGAAAGCAACGACGTTGCTAGTAGACATTATTAAATTATAATTTTATCATATCGTAGTCTATATGTTAATCTCTAGCTCGGACGACTGTCATTGTTTTTTAATGGGAAATGAGTTTAGAACATATGAATAGTTGAGTGAAAATTTTGTAACTTTTAATAGTTGGATGACTCAACAAAGCAACATCTTGTAGTCGAGAGACCATTTTGTAACTTTTAGTAGTTAGAGGACTCAACAAAGCATCACCCTATAGTTTGAAGATTGTTTGCGTACTTTACCCTATTTTAATCATTATATTATAATTTAAAAATATGATTCTCTACTTAAGAAATTGAATATCTCTTATTTGTAGGTGCTTAACGAACAAATCGATTGTAAGTTGGGTAGTGCTTGTTAAAAAATTTTGTTGCTTGATTCGACTGTTGCTCATTAAGCTCACCAAATTTTTTACCTTATTTTTTAACTACAGGTAAATTATACTAATACTATATAGATCTTAATATAAACATAAATTAATAAATTTAACTAAAAATATATCAAAAGATTGTATGAAGTAATTCCAAAGTCTAAACTCTCCGAAGTAACAATCTACGTATATACCAAACTAGTAAATTAGTAAATTATAGATTAGTAAATTAGTAGTAATTATTAATGAATAATTTATTATCTTTCTTATTATCTATTAGTGAATTAGTAATTATTATTTAGACTTTCTTATTTTGAATGTAATAAAGTTTTAAGATAATTACTAAAACATAAAAAAAATTAATGAACTGTTCGCGAACTTATCACGTCCAGTTGGACTTTACTCGACTTAACTTATTAAGGTCTCGAATCAAACTCAATTACGAGTCGAATCAACCTGAATCGAACATTGATCTAATTTTGATCGAATCAATTTCGAATAACTCACGAGTTACTCAACCCATTAATCACCCCTACTCTTGTCATTACAAATTCACAAAAAAAAATACAAGCTCTAAAATATTAAAATTTCCGTATTTTTAATATATTATGTACGTTGGAAATAAGATTATATATGAAACAAATTTAATGAAATTAAATTGGATAGGCAGAGAATTTATTGTTTTTTTTGGTTTCTCAGTAGTTTAAAAAAAAATCTAATTCCATATCATTAAAGACATGCAACTCTCCACCCAGAAATAAATAGAATTCTTCTTTATCTTCATAAATAGGGAGACGAGTAAATGGAAAGTTATTATTCCTTCGTACTAAAGCTTGTTTCCATCATTCCTTTTTATTATTAGAGTAGGTAAAGGTATTAATTATACGCGTCGTAACCGGTTTTCGTCCGGCACAAATTTTTACTTGACGGAGAAAATTAATGTAGATAAAAATGATTTTGATTTAAAATAAATATTTGGGAGTCGCCATTGACCTTTTGGGGTTAGGTAGGTCAAATACCTGAAAAAAAACAATCTTTTAAAATAGTTTTGAATAAAACATAATTTAAAAGATAAAATTGATATGCGTATAACCAAAATTTTTAGTAAAACAGGATTCGTGGTCGATTACGTTTAGGGAAGGATTAGCACCCCTATAACGCCCACAATTGGTACTTTATTAATTATAAATTGTCTCTATTATTGGAAATTTAAAATTTCAAAGATATATTTAATTTATAATCTTATTATTTCAAATTTATTAGTATCTTTAATAAAATCTATTAATTTATAAATAAGATATTTATTTATTAAGAAATATCAGAAAAGGACTTCTAGGTGCCTTAAGACAGCTCTTTTCTTCGATATTAAATAAAAATTAATAAAAAATTAATATATATATATTATAGAGTAAAAAAATCATAAAACGGACTTCTAGGTGCTTTAAGATAGCCCTTTTCTTTAAATTAAAACATGCTTATAATAAAAAGTATTCTATATTAAATTTATAAATAAGATTTTGAATAAATAATATATATATATATATGATTAAGTAATAATAAAAAATGATAAATAACTAAAATATAAAAGAATTACAATTATAGAATTAAATCACAAAATATATAAAACTTATGGTCAAAATTATATTTAATTATTAAATTATAGAATATAAACAATTAATGGCCATAGTTATAAATATTATGTAGTATATACATTAAAAATGTAATTTAACCCTAAAAGATTAATACGGGACTAAAATAAATTTTAAAAAGTTTAAGGGATTAATTATAATATGCACCTAAATTACTAGTAAAATAAATATTATTGAAAGAGTAAGGACTAAATACATATTTTACCTTAATTATTTATATAAATATTTCGGTCAGGACTAAATTATAAGAAAATAAAATTAAAGGACTAAATCACGACATATAGGAAATGATTTCAGTGACTAAAATGAATGTTACAAAACTAAGGTGGCTGCAGAAAAGGTTTGTCCATACGTGTAAATTATGCATATACCCTTCCCAAAACGACGTCGTTCGGGAAGGGATATATATTTCCCCAAACGGCTGGCCCGAAGGCCAGCATCCTCATTTCTTTCTTCTTCTTCTCTCTCAAAAATGAGAGAAGAAGAGCTCTCTCCCTTCTCTCTTAATTTCCCTCACCGGAGGGAAACGATCTCTGGTCGACCACCGCCAAATCGGCGTCCGGCCACCACATCCGGTGGCCGAAAATTACAAAACCCACCCCAAATTAAAGCTTGGTTTCCCCTAAAGCTAAATCGAGTTTTTTTAGCCTAAAATACTACTGAAATGCGTAGATCTAATTTTTTTACCTTCGATCTTTGGCTTTCCGACGGCGCAAGGAGGTTCTGATGACCGTTGTTCCCTCGGTAAGTTTCTCTTCTCTTTTCCTTGATGTTTTGGTGATTTGTGGTTGCTGGATTGCTTTTTTTATTCTTCTCTGTGGCTGTTGGATCTCACTTTTTTTTACTTTCTGTTTTTCTCTTGGGTTGTTGTCGTCGTTGTTCTCTTTGTTTACAGGTGAACCGAGGCTTTATAGCCTCGTCGAGACGTTCATCGGACCGGGTAATGGAATGGCCCTCGGTGAGTCACCGAACTATGGTGGTGACTCACCATAGGGTAGCAACGTGGATGGCTCGGTGGCGCTTCTGGAGGCTTCTTTGAGGGCGGCGGCAGCTGGAACGTCGACGTGGGGCGGCTGGAGACAAAGGCGGCGGCGCGTGGTCCCTAGGGTATCATAACCCTAGGGTTTCTTGTTGGAGAGCTTTGGACCGTTGGATTTTACCAGATCCAACGGTTGAGATCGTTGGTGGCTGGCTGAGATGATGGAAACCCTAGAAGGGTTTTGCTGGGCCTGGTCGGGTTGGGCTCCGGTCTGTTTTTAAACTGGGTTGGGTTTATTTGTAATTAGGCTCCGGGTTTTAGGCCTGCAATATATTAAAATTAATTAATTATTTAATAATAATATAATATAATAATAAAACAAAATAACAATAATAAATAAAACAAATGAAATAAAAACTAGTGTCTTCAACTGCCCCTCTTTGTTCATTCTTGTGCTAACGAGAATAGGGCAAAGACGAAAAGACTATAAGTTTTTTCATTTGACTTCATTTGATTATGATGGAAATGTTGAACAAGTTCTTCTTTAGGATTAGTTCTTCTTATTATGAACTTTTGCACCAAGGATGACAATTTATCTCTTCTGTGATATAATCATGTAAAGTTTGAATAAGTTCTGCTCCTTATTCTTCAGATGAGTTCTTCTCATTATGAACACTTCTGAAAATGTTGATGCTGGTTTATCTCCTTTTGTGATAGAGTTATGCAAAAGGTTGAACAAGCTCTTCTCATTATGAACTTCTTATTCCTCTTCAGATAAGTTCTTCTCATTATAAACTTCTCTAGACAAATTGATGCTGATCTATCTCTTTTTATGATAGAGTCATGTAAAGGTTGAACAAGCTCTTCTCATTATGAACTTCTTCTTCCTCTTCAGATAAGTTCTTCTCATTATGAATTTTCTCTGGAAAAGTTGATGTTGATCTATCTCCTTCTGTGATAGAGTCATGCAAAAGGTCGAACAAGCTCTTCTCATTATGAACTTCTTCTTCCTTCTTCAGATGAGTTAGTCTCATTATGAACTTTCTCTGGAAAAGTTGATCCATCAAGTGATGGATTTGAGCAAAAGGTTGAACAATCTCTTCTCATTATGAACTTCTTCTTCCTTCTTCAGATGAGTTCTTCTCATTATGAACTTTCTCTGGAAAAGTTGATCCATCAAGTGATGGATTTGAGCAAAAGGTTGATCAAGCTCTTCTCATTATGAACTTCTTCTTCCTTCTTCAGATGAGTTCTTCTCATTATGAACTTTCGCTGGAAAAGCTGATCCATCAAGTGATGGATTTGAGCAAAAGGTTGAACAAGCTCTTCTCATTATGAACTTTTTCTTCATTCTTCAGATGAGTTATTCTCATTATGAACTCTTTCTGGAAATGTTGATCCATTGTGATGGATTTGAATCTTTGCTAAAATCTT